ACGTTGGGAAAGTTGCGCATGCCTAGCACAACAAAATTTATTTGGCTTTGAATGCTGCTGCCACTTAAGTAGCTTCGAGTTATTTGGCTTATCAGCTCGGTGCCACAGTCCGCACCCCATTCCTTCAAAACCAAAAGCAAAAAATAGAAGCACAGGAAAAAAGCAAAATTGTGCGACAGTAAAAGCGGCTTATCAGCCCAGCAGCTGCTGTCCCACAACACCCCGAGCCTGTACGAAAATCGCATTAGATACAAGCACTGCACAAACCCCTCCTTCTCCCGGCAATTGTCGCTGTGTTATTTTCACGCCTATTTGAGAATTATGCAGCAACAGACCGAGCTACATTCCAGAAGGGGTACCGCTAATGAGCCCAGATTTGTGTACCGGCACGACACCAGCTTAAGCACAGCCAATTGCCATCCTCCGTCATCCGTGCGCACTCCACGCTCCTTGTTCCACCTCGCATATATCTGTTACCCGGCGCTTCCTATGCTGATGGATAGATACATAGATGTTCTCCTCCCACAGAGGCGCGCAACGGCAAGCAACAACATTGGCTTATCTCTGGAGTACACTGAACTTCTGAATTGTTGTTGCTCGGTTGCTGCTGTTGCTTTGTCCCTAACTCGACTCTGCGGTTCCATATTTGGGGCGTTGTTGTTCCTACAAGTTCAAGCAAGTATCATGTATGTGACTAATCGAACCAGCTCGGGTGAAAGAGAGTTCGCGAGTTTTCCGGAGATCAGTGCGCAATGAAAATCTAACTATATTTACGAATAAAAAGCAAAATATTAAAAACAGTAATAAAAACTTAATTTATATATTGCTGGCAGTAAAACAAATGCAAGCGAAAATTTCTATATGCATTTTTACCAAAAATAAAATTTACATTTCTCACAAAATTACAAAGCTGTAAAAATCACTGTGGCAAGCTGTAAACCTTGATTTATGTTTTATTCACTTGTAGTTCCCAAACGTTTTTAATATAGTCTTGACGGTTGCATAAAAATGATATAAATATTTTCATATAACACACACGCCTGCCTGGCTGTCCGCCTGTCCGCCTGCCTGCTGCATAGGAAAAAGAACAAAGAGCATAAAACAAATCCACAAGCTGCCAACTGTCAAAGTCAGTAAACCCAGCAAAATGTTTCCCTTTGGAACTTCATTAAGCGCACGCCCCTAACGTACACAGCAGCAGCAGCAGCAGCCACAACAACAACAAGGGAACAAGCAACAACCAGGAACCAGAACAAGGCAAGAGTTGCGATTGCAGCAGAACAGAGGCTGAGGGAGAAGCAGGACATAGGTAACAGGATCTGGGCTGGGGGTTGACTGAGCAGGACTAAAAAAGCGCAAGGTGGATGTTGCAAGAGCATTAAATAACATAAAGTTACGCAGCAACCCCTAACACAAAAGTAAACGAAAATTGCATTAAGTGCAGCATGGCAGCCAAGCATATAGCAGGGGTAGGAGGCGCGCTGCAGCAGGGGTATCATTGCATTAGGGTGACCATCATTGTCATCGTTATACGCACAATTGACAGCAGGAAATTTCACACTAGGCCACAAAAAAAAAAAAAAACACGTGGCAGGAACAGCGGAAAGCGGAGCTGCTGCTGTAATTGTTATTAAGCGATTACATGATTCATGAGGCAGTTAAACAGCCACAAGGAGAGATATGTATATATAGAGAGAGTGAGAAAGAGGAAAGAAATCCAAAACACGTGGCAGTAATCAGACAGGCAGACAGAGACAGAGACAGCGACAGCGACAGCGACTCATACAAAATAGTCCTGGCAAATAGTCCTCGTCATATCTCGTTTGATAGTTGGCACGCTTATCACGTATCTTGACCCGCCATACATTTGAACATCTACTCAAGCGATAATCTAATCAAGCACGAATTCTTTGCATGCCAAACAACAAGTTCTTTGGGCCTTACTCGTTCTATAGATTAGGCGAAAGCAACAAGTTCACATCAAAACAGGCAAAACGTGCGGCACGTGCTGGCCAAAAGGCAAATCAATTTGAAAAGTAAACAACATTGTGACATTTTGGCATGGCTCAAATCAAACAGGAAAATAGGCAAAATGCTTTGAGTATTAAAATCTGATTTCTAACAAGTGGCTCGAGTTGACAGCTTGAGTTTAATCTGTCAAGTCGATCACAAGATGTCTGTGTTCTCTTTCCCTTTTCCTGTGACGATTGACGTTTGGGAATTGTGCTGGTGTCGTATTTGATTTACATTTTGCAAACTAATTACGACTAGCAATAAGTTGTGTCTGCGATTAGATTGCCTGTGACGTAGGTGGCTCAAGTATGTCCAACTCTGCATGCCCCAGCAACTCATGCTATTCTAGAGTTGCTTTTCGAAGGTCTAGCCTCTGTATAGGTGAGCTTTCGAAAGCTTCTCTTTTGTCGTTGCCTGCAGGCTGGCGGCTCAGCCGTGCCCGTATGCGTGTGGCCTGTGCGTGTGAAAGCTTGTCGACTCGACTCGAAACTCCCAACTGCAACCTTTTGTGTGGTCCTGTGCATGCAGGCACGTCTTGGCCCAAAACCACATTCCTCAATTGCAGTTAGACCTTAAATAAAATAGCTAAAATATATTTATATATAAATCTCTGTATGTTGTAGAGGAGAAAAAATAGAAAGGAAAATACGGAGTGAAGTAAGAACTATTCAGTATGCACAGTGCATGTCATTGGGAACGTCGCGACGCGTCGTCTATTGCGTCAGACACAATCAGTGAGTTGAGCTGACGGTAGCTGAAAAAGGCTCCGAAGATCCGAAACGTACGAAAAACTTTACTCAAGTTCATTTGGGCGTCTGCTCTGCGCTTCTGTCTGCATACCAAAAAGGTAATTATGAGCCGCATTGTAAGGGGAAACAAAAGTAAAGCACAGACGGCCATAGAAAGAGCCAATATCAAATTACATACATGAGAAAAGTGGCATAGAGACAGTCAACAATGAGGAGGAAGAAGAGGAAGAATAGAATATGCGTAGACAACAGCAGCAACAACAAAAAACTGTGCTTTAGCTACGGGTCACATGTCGGCATTAACTGAGCTTTTGTGTATTAGAAACTGGCCGCTGGGGTTCCATTTCGGCTTCAATTCGCCAGGAATTGCGGCGCTAGGGTTGATACGCTGAACAGTTAGCTGAACTTGAGATGGACTTATAGATGAATGTCTATATTAATAGAAGACAAGCTGTGCTTAGCAATCGTGAAACTGAGACGGGGTTCAATCTACAAATAAAAGAAATAAAAATAATTCTGACTGCTTAATTCTTTAGGCTCAACTATTTTGAAAAGCCTTTATCAAGCTTCAGACTTAAGCTAAAACACAAGATATATTTTTTCTAATTAATTCATTAATGAGCTTTAAGCAATGCCTATAAACTGCAAAATAATAAGAGTTGAAAACTAAATATTAAAATTAAAAAAAGTTTACAAACTGCATCAAATTTTAGTTAGTTAACTTAATTTTCTATAGAAATTGTAGGCAGCAGTCGTAGCTACTCCATAACCATTAGTTAATTCAAGTAATTTTCCCCAGTTAAATAGTAGTTTTTAATTCAGCTCAATACAGAAAAGCAACTTTCAATGAATTCGCCTCGTCAGCTGCGGTTCATTGAAATGTGAGTTGCCCAAATCAAAATTGTGTCGAATGCAAGCTAAACATAAAGTCAACTACAAGAAAAAGCAGTACAAAAAATAACGAAAATAAATTATAAACACAACTCATTTAGTTGCTTGGCTATGCGAATCGAGACTCGCCCCATCAGTGCGAAAATGTTTGAAGAGATATTTTCGATGCGATGCGATGCGATGTGATGGCATTTGCTTGGTTTATTTGATTTGAACTTTTTTATTGTCTGTGTGAAATTGAAAAATGATGATAAAAATCGAACCAGAGTAACGCGTACAAAGCCAAAAGCTATTCAACTTTTTATATATATAAATATATATATGTGTATATAGTATATGGTATATAGTTTATTTGGGGACTGCCTACTGTGAGCGCAAAACGCCTTGGGAATTGGGCCCAGTAATTTGCACATGGCATTGGCCTCTTGCCTCTGGCCGGGACTTGGCTTTGGTCTGTGGCTTGTGGCTCACTCAGGTTATTCGATGGTCCCTTCTATTGATTTCTCGTGCACTTTCAAGTCGGTTTTGTTTCCATTGTGGCTTGTGCGCGATTTTCACTTTTCAAAAGCAGCAGCAGCAAAAAGTAAAAGAGGCAAAAAAAAAAAAAATTAACAAGAATAAGAACAAGCCCAAGAACCGAGAACAAGGGACCTTCGTCCAAAGAAACTACCCTCTCGAGCTGTGCTTCTTCGAGCTATGGGTCTGGGCAGCTCTCTAAGCTGAAATCAATGACCTTTTGCCTCTGCCTCTGCCTCTGCCGCTGCCAAAGGGGATTAGTCAGCGACGCCTGAAACAAAATATATGCACTAAAAATATAAGTATGGTATATATATATACTATATATATGTATGATCCAATCGATAGGCACGACAAAAACAAAAACAAAAAGAGAGAAAAAAATCAGAAATGTTTTCTTGGCATTTTCCATAACCATTGACATTGAGCCAGAGCAATACTTATATTCATGAATACTACTCATGAATACTACTCAAATGAATACTAGTCGTGAATTCCGCTCAAAGCCAGTAGTTCATCTTTTGAGCTTTCAATAATATTGACGCTTTTGTTTAAAGAGCTCACGATCAGGCAGTCGAATGAACTGAAATGACTTAATTGTTTTTTTCTGCTTCCCAATCCCAGCCCCGAGACGGAAGTTGTACTCATCGAGATGAAAAAAAAAAAAACAGAAAAAACAAAACAAATCAATAAAATAAATAATAATCATTAATAATCTGTATGATTTATGCTAATTTTTTTTGGCATATAACACTTTATTTATAGTAGATATCGTAAGTCGTATGTTATCCTCTTTAAATGATATTCATCACCTGCTTCTCTATATTACAGGTTACTACAGTTCATGCTGCTCAATGTCAGAATTATTTTTATACTGATGGTAAGTGCAACTACTCAATTAGCAATAAGTAAAACGGTTTTCATAACAGTAAAGCAGGACACACATTAGTAGGCTCTATAAGACTAAAAGAAAACCAGATCCTACAGCATTAGAATAGCAGAATGCATTGAAGAGGGTATCTCATAGTCGAGCCTTCATTCCTCAATCGGTTCCCATTGTACTTGTACTTTAATTAAATACCACATAGCCCAAGATGACTTCGCACATTTGCACTTTATCTCAGGCTCAACTTGATAATGGGCGGGTACATATTATTATATTAAAGATCAGATTGCGCAGTTTGATTTACTATACGATGCGGTGTAAAAATGTGTCTAATTACTATGAATACTACAATTGAAAAAAAAAACGAAAAATGCCATTTAAGCCTCTTGTTGCAGTGTATTGAGAGACTGTTAACAGACTGTTAATAGACTGTTAATTGACTGTTATATATCTGCTAGATCCATTGAGTTTTGAAAGCCAAAAAAGATAATAAAATTTGTTGTGACAATTGTTTTTCAGCACTCGAAATAATTATCGTAAAAAACTCATATTTATATATATCAATATGTGTGTGTAGTATTTCTTTCCGTTTGATTATTATAACAAGATCAAGTGTGTAATCAAGTGAAGTGAAGTGTGGAGCAAGGGGGTGGCGACAGTGGCGGGAGGGCAGCTGGGGAGTTGCGGTGTCTGATATCTGAGCCGGTCAGCACGTAGTGTGTACACTGGAGTGGCTACGTCTGCGGATCTGCTCAGGGTCTGGCTGGGCCCTGTTGCATAGCCACTTGAGTCTGGCAACATAGTAATAAAAATAAAAAAAATAATAATTATTATTATTATTATTACACATGCACACTCACAACTACACTCAGAGTCGCACACACACGCCAAAACGTCATTGAACTATGAAAAAGGTCGCCCATCACAAAAAAAAAAAAAAAACAAAAAATTGAAAACTCAAAAAACTGAAACCAAACAATTTGGTTTTTTATGAGTAGTACAAACAGAAGGCCTCCACAAGGGGTGTACGGGACGGGTATAGGGTATAGGGGCAAAGGAGAAATAAACTGACACTGTTTGATTTTGTGTCAACTTGAAGTATGATGAAATGTCTGACAAGCAGCTGAGAAGTAAAGTTCACGAATTTCGTCAAGTGCCAAGTGGCATTTGTCAGAGGCGCTGATTTCAAAGGGGGCGATTCTGCCTTTGGCGTTGGGTCAATTTGTTTTGCGTTGCGCCTTCGCACATTAATTTCTCTGATAATTGTTGGCAATCACTTATGGCCAAAGTCTTCTTATAAGCCCTCGATTTAGATACACGCACATATTTTTAGCCATTCGACCAAAATAACTGCCATTAGATGTTTGCAAGCGGAGCTGTAGTGCCGTGTGGCAAGCTCTATTTCACTCTCTTATGCCAGAACATATCCATTTAACATATATATATATATATATATGTATATATATATATATATATATATGTACTGTCTGTATTACAGCATGTTTCGCTGACTGCGCATATTTTTGGGTTCTCTAGCAAAGTGCGCTATCAACAGATTTTTTGCAACATACTCCCTCGCTCGCACAGGAGTCGCTTATGCAAATGCTGTCAGACTTGGGTAATGTAAGAACAAAAATAAAAAAATAAATAAATAAACGTGTCGGGGCTAGACAGACACGGCCCAGACACGTGTTGGCTAACACAGTTGGCAACAGCAGCTAAATACTTGATTGAGGCATCGTACATGGCTAGCTTGCGTAATTTGATTTGATTGATGCTTTGCTTTTTATTTTCGATTGCTCGTTGATAAGCAATTTAATTTCCTCTTGCGGCTTATCTGCAGATGTTGACTTATATCTCTGCCTTTTACATGTCGTTGACAGCCCCAAGCAAACTGTGAATGATACACATATATATATAAATCAGACAATAGCAATGCGACCAAAAGTGCGTTGGTTTCGAATTGGTAATTGAAAACATATCAATCATACAATAAAACTTTTACAAAATATGTTTATTGCAAATACCCACTGTAGAAAAAATTAATCATTTTGGAATTCAAATCAAATTAAACAGAATTTGAAATGAGCTCAATCCAGAGCATAAAAATCAATGAAATAATAACAAATGAATGAGCCTGAGCACTTAAAGCCTTTTCTCCTTAAGTTTGTAGTTCTAACGCCCTACACATTGCCGTCTGCAGACGACCCTCAGCAGAGCTGTTGCCACAATGTGCAGGATTAGCTGATGTTCCATTCGGGAAAAAAGCAATTTGCTGAGAGCTGCTTTAATGGTCAGTGTTGTGTAGCATGGCCTGGCGGCTTGCTGTAGCACAGGTGTGTAGCCGCCGGCCAGGCTCAGGTGCAGTTGCTGTTCGCCAGGTCTCTCAGCTCTCATAATAAAAAGTTTAGCGTATTAATTGAAATTTATGGGCAGGATTAAGGCTGCAGTTTTTTGGGCTTATGCTGTTCCGACCATACCACATATACCATATACCATACACCACATACTCAATTCTCCACTTGTTTCCTTTGCAGGTAATGCTTGCTCTTGTATCTACAACATGTGCAAAGAAAACGGAATACATTTTAACACTAAAGACCGACAACAATCGGGCGCTGCATATCAATGCGCACGGCTCGGTAACAGCAGAGGATATATCACTAGCACGTAAGTACAGCTATACCTGATATCATTTCCACACTCTCTACATAATATATATAGATATATATATATATATATATATCTATGATTTATGGTTTGTTTCGGCGCCCATCAATTTCCATTGTTTGAAGCAGGGCGCGCGCGCGTATCTCGAGAGCTGGTCAAATGGCTTTTAAATTGAATTGGCATTTATTTTGAACTCTGGTGCTGTCTGTGCATATTGCGGGCTTAATTAAATTATTGGTAATTTAATATTTGATTGATGTTATGTGGTCCGCCATGGGCGCTACGATTGCGGTTTCATGCCAGCCTTCTTACAATTTATTTGAATTCATGCGGTTCTCTTACTTCTCGACCTTCCCTCTTTGCTCCCTCTCTCCCTCTGCTTCCTCATCTTTCATATTTGTAATTTTGCCGCGCGCTCGGACCGCCTCAGTGGGTGAAGTTCAGGAGCAGAGCTTCGCATACACAAATGGGTTGTTATCTACGCGCTAGCGACAGCAGTCACATGCAATAAGCGTGAGAAGTTAGCGGTGAGTGCAGCCTACTCAATAGGCATAACAGATTCAGCTATATCAGGGGCATTGGCGAGCAATATGTTAGATCGTAAAAGGTCTGCGATATATCAATACGAAGAAATATAAATTTTTAGATATATATTGACTAAGGCAAATCTATAGAAACATATATTCATATATCATTATAGATAGGTATCGAGATACATTTAGATGCAGATACAGATACTGATATAAATAAAACTTACAACTTACTTATCGAGAAGGAAATAGAATAGGTATAAATTCAGATACAGATGTAGCTATGGACACATATGCAGATATAGATATTTCAGTCTGAAAAATCAGAAATCGATATACATTTATGAAAGCAATAGACATAGCTATAGATACACAATATACTGGAAACAATTTGAACAGATCATTTCGGCTTTTATCGCTTTCAAGTAATGTCATAAAATTTCTTTAGATTGCGTCACGCTCCCCGCCGATCGTTAACCACTTGACCGGTGCAAAGTTCAGATCGCATAAATAACACTCCAACGTTGTTCGCACGTGAAGTTCGCATAGCAGCTGGTCAGAGATAGAGCGAGAGAGAGAACGAGGCGTCAGTCTCCTTATAAATTAAACGAAAAACTTTGTCAGTTTGGTATTTTATCTTATCTCATATGGTAGCAAGTGCTACGCATTGTTACTATTGTTGTTGTTCTTGTTGTTGTTCGAGTTGTTTTGGTTGATTCAAAGGGAATACTTGGACTTAAGCTACAAGAACTTTGCCAGAGCTTAGCCAGTTTGATCGATTTGTTTTTGTTTTTCTGAGGCATTGCCGCAGCGAGGGTCCGTCGCATGCAACGATAGCGTGAAGAAAGATGCTTGAAGGTTTTCAGGGTTAACCATCTGCCAAATACAGGCCCTTATGGAGAACAACTGCGCCTCGGCGAGGGTCTCTCAAATTATTGTTGGCTTTATGATTGGCGCAGCTTGATAAGAGCTCAGTTCAGTAATTGACTGACACGCACCTTGCTGATTATACGGAGAATGAAGTGAGCTGGGAGCCCAGAGCTCCGACAGCGGGCGACTGTAAAATCCACGCTCATTTAATTTCATTAAATGTTTGACTCTTGTTCCTATCGTTAGCTGCGCCGCAGCCCCCTGCCTACCTAATCAAACCTTTCATAACTTTATCGAAAACCTTTCAATTAAATGGGTTATCTGGCCAATGAAGTGTGCGTGTGCGCGTGTGTGTGTGTGTGTGTGGAGAGCAGCTGCCCCACTACTCATATAAGCTGGCTCAACTAGCATTATTTATATATTTACTTAACTAACAGAAAGAAAAAACTTTGTTTGTTTATAATTAATTAAAATTGATTTGTTTCTCTTGATAATGCCCATTGCAGAATCCCTAACAATGAACAGTGTTGGCGATGTACTCAGCGAGGATTTCAAAATCACCATCTATGCCAAGGATGTGGACTACTATTTATGCTTTGCCCAAGGCAAACTGGTTGGAAAGGTAAGCAACGGCATTTTCAATTGTTTACTAAATAACATTCCACTTAGATATCATTGTTGAATTTTGAGAAATAAAATCACATTAATAGATATCAAAAAGCATATATAGATATAAAATCACGATAAGGTTTCCTTCGAAATATCGATTATAAGGCTAAATTTATTGTCGATCCGAAATATTTTATTTACAAATGAGAAAAGTCTTTACTTACTAAGCCCAAACTTTAACTTTATTTTTGTTTTTCATTTTCTTGGTTCTCTTTAGAGAAACGCCACAAACGATTGCCACTTCAGAGAGTCAATGGATCGGGGATATTATCAGTATACGAATGCCTACAATCCGGTGCTGCGCGTGGGCATCAAGTCAAACTTTCGCCCGATCGGGCCTAAGGGTATGCAGAATTTGAATAGACGTTCCCGTTTCCTGTTCAATCGCGTGATGGCCGAAGATTTTCACAGCAAATTGGCCGGCTGGAAAAGCAAGGCTAACAATGCGACAACAACGTCAACAACAACCACGACATCCACCACAACAACAACAACAACAACGACGACGACGACGACAACAACGCCCAGACCAGTGGCTGTAACAAAACGCGCACGTGGCAAGCCACTGCGTCGCACGCAGCCAACAGCAGCAACAGCAACAACAACAACAACAACAAACACAAGTATTAATAGCGATAGTTCTTCTAACCCCCACAACAACAACAATAACAATAGTTATAATAACAACAACAACAACAACAATAGCCGTAAGTCCCCCAACAAAGCGAATGAGGATGCGCTGCGCGAGCAGAAGATCATCAAGCGCAACCAGCAGTACCAGCGACGCGTGCAACATCGGCAGCAGCAGCAGCTGATGCACAAGCGCCAGCGCCAACGCCAGCGGCAGCAACACAAAGCCGTCGGCGCCATGGTCAAGCCACAGCCGAAGAACCTGATGGTGCGTCATCATCACAACAATGCGACGTTGCTGGAGCGACGACGCCGCCGACGCCTGCAGCGACGTCAACAGCAGCGGCTCGAGCAGCAGCAGCGCGAGCAGCAAGAAGAGCGTGAGCAGCGCAAGCAACAGCTGCCCACAGCCTCGTCCTCCTCATCCTCCTCGTTCACAGCGACTGCGGCGTCAACAGCGCTGACAGCGACTGCCTCGCTGGCGCCCTCGGCGCTCAATCTGTTTGCTGGCATGTTGGCAGCGAGTCGACGCAAGCGCGGACGGCGAAAACGCGCAGCAGCAGCAGCAACAGCAAGCGCTGGCAGCAATGCGGCTGACATGGATATGCAGCTGGTAGAAACGTCTTCACAGCAACAACAGCAGCAGCAACAGCAGCAGACACAGGACGTGCAGCAGCACCAGCAACAACAGCAACGACAGCTACAACAACAACAACAACAAAATGAATACTCAAAAGCCTATGTTAATAGTAACTTAAACTTAAAGCTAAAGCATAAACAAACACTAAACGTAGAACTAAATTTAAATAGTAATAGCCCTAATGTTAATAATGCAATACCTGCCTTGCCAAAAAACTACAACTACTTGTACAGTAACGAGCATTATAATATGAATACTAAAAGTAGCACGACTGATTCTAGTAGTTTAGAGATTAGCACTAAGTTCGATAGTCCAAATAGCCATAGCCATAGCCATAGCCATAGCCATAGCCATAGCAATAGCCAGAGTCGCAGCGAGGAGGGCGTTGTTCAATTCAAATTCAATGATACCATTGACAATAATCTTAAGAAGTTGATAAACGATCGAATTGATAGCCGCAGCAGCGCAGCTGCACCAACTGTTGTTGCGCCCAGTCGCACTCATATTGTTGAGCATAATATGAGCGACGATAGCCATAGCAACAACGACAGCAACAGCAATGACAGCCACAAAGCAGGGAACTACTTCTCGGCCTTAGAATTGCAGCAGCAGCAGCAGCAACAGGAACAGCCACAACAGCAGCAGCAGCAACCTAATATTAATAACTATGATGCTAATATTAATGTTGTTAACGATAATCGCAATGATAATAATGCGGCGCTGCAGCCCAATCATAACCATAATAGTAATTATAATGAGCAATTTGCGAATGACGATGAAACGATACGAATTCAAAATAAATATGAAACACATGTAGTACAATACAAACCTGCCGTATTCATTGCACATGGGTTGGGCCAGCTGCTTCAAGGGTAAAGCGCATCTAACGGGGGTTACACGGGCGAAGCTACGCCCATTTGTATCAAGCGACTTCCAAGGGTCAAGATGAGGTGAACAAGAAGTTGTCGAGCTCGATGCCATGACCTGAACTCTATCTATATTTTTGTATTTCTAGTGACTGTAACTCTTGACCTCAGTCAACTCAAGGGAAATGGATAGAACCTAAAAGAAATGTTAGTTCAAACATCCATAGCTTGAGGTAACTTGAGGCTTCGCGCTCTATCAGACAAATGGCTGCCAGCAATGATAGATCGACTCTGATCGATTGGCTGTCATCAGAAAAACACATTACAGCGTCGGTCCTTCTCTGCTTCTCTTGCAGTTCAGACATTAAATACTCTTCGATATCTACAGATCTCTGAGAAGTATTTCTAGTCGAAGACTCCAGCACTTGTCGGCATGGTTAAAGTGACAATTGGACTACTCTTGCAGTTGTGCTGCATTTATTCATCTATGTATATATTAGTTATGGATGCCATTTGCCATTTATTATTTGATTTTAAACGTTCACTTTCTCTAGATTGATATCGAGTCATAACTCGACAATCTTTCATTTAGTGGCCAAGCAGCTGTAAACGATTCCGCTTTTATCAAATTCCCTTCGATTCATTTTTTGGCTTTTAAGCTTACATCAAATCACTTCTAAGTCGTGGGGTCATCTGGCAAACTGAAATATCGCGATTAGTGAATGGAATTTCGTTTCACAAATGGACATTCCAAGAGCATAATACAAAAATCGTGTAACACTTGATAAGAATCTCCAACAATGTGACAATGTGTTAATCTCCATCTATGACCTTAATCCGAGCGGCTTGTCACAAGACAAAAAAAAAAAAAAAGCAGAAAGGCCGCAAGTTCGAAGCGCGTGGGCGTTCGAACTTTAGAGCGAGGGAAAACTCTTGATACGTACGATTTGCTGGAATGTCGACGCGCCGAATAACTCATAAAGAAATATGTAATACTAATAATAATATATGCAAAGTATACAAGATTTATGGCTTGTCCAAAATTAATTACCCAACGAGAGAAAAAAAACGAGCAACAAAATTGTGTGCGTGAATGCTAAAGCTATTTTCGAGTCAACGATATGCAAATTGAGCGCAAGTGCGACGAGTGGTCAAGCCAATCCAAGCCATCAAAATAGATGCCGTTGTTATTGAGATTTATCAAGACCTGCTCCACACCTCTGCTGTCTCCGCCACGGGCCGCCAGTTGACAGATCTGGCCAAAACAAAGGCCGAAAAGCAAGGCGGAGGCGCGAAGTCCCCACAACAGCGACAATTCAAACCTGGCGCCGTCTGCGCGCGCCTCAAATACAACGCCAACACGCCGTCGGCGACGTTCGCTAATGAAATTTTATTATGCGCCAAAAGTAATAATTTATGAATTTGCTTAACAAAATATATAAATAAATATGTTAAGCAATAAATTGAAATACACAAATCAAATGTCAGCGAAACTCTGTAGCCGATGCAGCCCAGAGCAAGTTTGCGTAACTTTCCATTGATAATCCAGAAGATTTCTGGGAAAGAACTCAATTCTCGCTTTCATTAGGTCTTCAATTCTATTCTGAACACTTATGAGCTCTAAGCCAATCTCAAGTCCACCATCTTATTAGCCATAATATATGCCCAGCGTTTCCAGAATAACCCAAATATAAGAGCTTAGCATAACGCGCTTTGGCGTCATTCACATATATCAACGTTAAGTAGCTGTGCGATTTAATATAATATTTATGAATCGGGCACAAATGGCAAAAATAAAGATCAATTTAGAAGACATTTAGTGATTGAATGTGAAATACCCTAACCACTTATTTATTCCTATAAAACTTACCTTACCAAAGTCGCTTATCACTTTCATTGCTGTGTTCACAGGGCATAGTTAGAGCAACTTTCATTGTTATGCTTTCATACAGGGTATTACAAGCTGGCCATGTATTAAGTATAATAAAGTAGTTAGTCAAAGGTTACAGTTGCTATAACTCTGTTAATTAATTATCCGCAAGGGAACTCGTATTAAATCATCCTTAGAATTGAGCACATAGATCACAGAACTTATATAGCTCATATCCGTCTACAAGTAGATAATCGCTTATAAAAAGTTCTTATTCTTGAAGATATCTTATCTTATCTTTAATGTAATCATATAAGTCTTATCCAACTTCTTTTTCAAGATATATCAACACTTCCAACAGGAAGGGTATGCAGTCTTCGACGAGCGGAACAGCTTTGTTCCTTCGTCATTCTTCGTTCAATTCGATATCAATAGGTGTTCCTTTATTACTTTCTTGTATAAATATACATTTTATTTAAATATTTTTCTATAGTTACCTTCTTCTTTGGTATTCGTTTTTTTATTATTTGTTGACTTTGGCATCGCTATTGTCACACTAATCCAATACGGGGGCTCAATGGCGCCTTCGCTTCGCACATTTGATGGCTTCCATCGAATTTTTTGTTGCTTATTGTTATTAGTATTGGGTTTAAATTTTTTTTAACATTTTTGGTGTGTTTATTAGCCAAATTAGCGCTTCAGGTGAAATTTAAGCAGATTTTGCTTGAGCAGCTGCGTCTCTTTATGGGAAAATGATTAGATCCGCTTACGGTGAGTATTTTGAAATTTTATGCGTTTATTTTTATGACAGTTATTCTAATGAAGAAACACTTTAAGCCGCTGCTTAAATGACGGAAATACCACAGGTTCACACACACACCGACACGCACACACACTAATTCTGACTGCTTTTGTATTCAGTTGTATCTTTGTATCTGCAGCGCTTTGTATCTGCGTATCTCTAACTAAGCCTGTATCTCAGATCGCATCATGTTGACTTTTCAGCCATTTTCCAAGTTCAGCTTACGATGGGATTTGCAGTTTGCATGTTGTCCACAGCAGACATTACGGCGCATTAGATGAGGCTTATTTTAATTGATCAAAATTAAAATTAAATATGCATAGAAATGTGATTCATGATTTTTTTGTTGCTGGTCAGCAACTTAAGTAAAAGTAACAAGAGAAGTAGCTGTGCTCTAGTCGAGATTGCCCGACTAAAGGATACTAGGAAATTGGCAGAGCTGCAGAGTTAAATGTAGAAGGCTACACGCACGCTCACACACACATGCATACAATAGATAGAAGTGTAAACATTGCAAAATTCTCAACTCAAAAGAATTTGAGCTTAAAGGTTGTGCAACATATTTAAATAATGTAATTGATTTTTAAAATTATGAAATGAAATATAAAATGGTATAACAATAACAAATATTTTTAATGAATTTTAAATTTACATAATAATTTTAAATTAAAATTGAGTTCATTTTTAAATAAATTTAAATAATAATATAAAAAAATAATAATAATATAAAAAAATAATAAATTTAAATAATAAAAATAACGAAAAAGAAAATTCAAAAATTATAAAAGAAATTAATATAATATTTTTTAATAATAATCATATCTCATATATAAATAAAATAATTGTTTGAGAGCCGACTTTAAAAATATCTGCACACTATGGCATATGGAATATTATTTTTATTTCTTACTATCTCCAGCAATACGACTCATAATTTCCTCCAAAATGTCATGTAATGAAGACATATTTATGGGAAGAATGGTTAAACATTATATGATAATTTATCATTATAATTTAGCGTAATAGTTGAAAAATGCTCAGATGTTAGAAACAAATCAAGTAAACCTCTGCTTTCAATATTTTTACTGAAGGCATTGATTTTTGGACCACAAATCAATTAAATAACATAACATTCTTAAAATAGAAATGCCATTGCTAGTAATACAAATCAATAAATTAACAAAATCTTTTTATGTTTAATAATTTTTAAAATTAGAATATACACTCAAGCCCAACTGGAGACAGAGAGAGAACGAGATAGAGAGAGAGAGAGACAGACAGTGAAAGGTAAAACAAGTGGAGCGCAGTTAATAGCGGTTCGCACCACTTGCAAGCCACGAAAGTGGCCAAAGAAGTGCGTCACATCTGTCTCCTCGTAATGTCGATTTATGGCTGCTATAAGGAATATTTATCGCGACCACAAATTCCAAATTAATGATGACCGAACCGAGTCGATGATATACTATGAAGTGTGTTCTGGCGCCGTTTAAACGGAATATAATAAAAGTGGAAATTTATAATGCAACAATTAAATCGCAACTCAAATCTGAACAACAGCCAAAAGAAACAGTATATATATAAATGTATTTATATGAAATGCCAGCGATTTTAATGGCATCATTAAAAATGACCGAAAACAGCGTATCTTAACCCATGACGGCATCAAAGATATTTAACGACTTCTCGCCTTCATATCGACGCATTCTACCAAATTATTTTTAAGCATTCACATCTATATACATATATATACATTTGTGTATATATTTATTTATACTATTTATTCTATTTCTGTGCTTGTCTGCTGTGGAAACCGGTTCACAGTTCGACTCCCCGCCTGACGGTTTAAAATTAAAAACTGACGCGCACTCAATTAAGTTTATTGCATTGCAAATCATGTCCGTAGCCCATTTTTATGACATCCAATGCCAAATAGTGTGGCGAGCGAGGTGTCAAGATGATTTGTCAATTTGCACCACGCCCCATGCTGCATGCTGCATGCTGCATGCTGCCCCACGGACCCAGCGTCCGTTAAATGCAAACAGTTAGAATGTATCTTAAAGTACGATGTTTTGTTTTGTTTTGTTTTTCGTTTTTCGTATCTTCGGCAACCTGTTGCACTTGATTTTTTATGAGCGTGCACATTAAAAATGATGGAATTCCAGCTGCCAGGCCAGCTCACCGGCTGTTAATGACACCAAAAAAACCCAGAATAACAGCAGCAGCAGCAGCAGCAGCAGCAACAACACCAATCACTTGTGCGGGTGTTTGCCAGGGTCAAGTGTACCCCCTGCCCACGGCAAGGCGAACTCGTCACAGTCGCAGTAGCAGTAGCAGTCGC